TTCTACAAGAAGTCTTTCCTGATTGCCATTAGTACTAGTGCCTTCCCTCTGTTGACTATCTCCAATTTATGTACATAGTTGTTTGCATGTTGTCGCCCTATTAGACGGTGAGCTCCTTGAAAGCAGAACTGACTTTCCCCCTTCATTATATCCCCAGCACTCAGCACAGTGCTTGGTACACAGTAGGCTTTTAATGTTTATTGATCAACTGGGTACAACTACTATTATCTGTGCAGATGACTCTTAAATCTACATATCCAGCCTTCATCTCTTTTGAGCTCTATGTCCCGCTACTAGCTGAACATCTTCATCTGCATGTCCTACGGGCATCTCAAACTCAACATTTCCAAAACAATTTATATCCCACCTAACTTTTCAATTTCTGTTAAGGACACAACCAGTGCTTAACATAGTACCTGGCACACAGTAGGTACTTAATAAATGTTGACTGACTTCTTCCACTCACCCAGGTTTAAAACCTCAATCGTACTCCACATTCACTTACTTTCCCCACCAACTACCCAATCAGCTTGCAAATTCTATGGATTCCACCTCCACATCTCATATATTTATCTCCTTTGCTCCATTCACACTATTACCCAGGTTTAAGCCCTCATCTTCACACACGTGAATCATGGCAACAGTCTCCTGACTGGTCTCCCTACCTGAAGACCCATCCTCTCTCTAACCCATCCTCCACATAGCTGCAGCCACGTCACTTCCTTGCTCAAGAAGCATTAGTACTCCCTATTACATCTAGGATTTAAACTACCCTTTTCGGCAAAGTCCTTCACAACCTGCTTTATCCATTTCTTCTTCATTCATTACTGCTCCTCAAGTACTCTAAGATCCAGCCAAACTGGCCTCCTTGCTCTTCATCACAGGCTGCTCCCTATGTGTGCGATGGTCTCCCTCTTCACTTCTACTTCTTTGAACCGCTGGGGTGTCCCTTCAAGGCTGTTTAAATGGTGCCTTTTAAAGGAGGCCTTGCTCGATTTCTCCAGTTTTTAGTCCCTTCCCCACCCTCCAACCCCTCATATTTACTTACCTAGGCACATGTTTAAGTCGAGTAGGCAAGCCATAAGCTCTTGGTGGGCAAAGACTGTTTTTCAGCTTTGTAGCCAAATGCCTTTCACGTAGTAGGCAATGTTTGTTGAATTTTAGAAGTTACCTTCGAATACAGCATAAGTAGGAAAACAAAGACCTTATAGGCATGCACAATGCAAGCCTGGATATATGCTGAAAGAGGTTTCAGGTGCTTGGTATCACTTTGTACCCGCTTCCCTTGCAGTCTCCCTAGGATCAGGAAGAGGAGCCAGTGTGGAAAGAGATGCCACGGATTTAGTGCTTAACTATAGTTACTCCTTTCGAATATCATGTTGTCCACAGGAGAGGTCGATCTCGGAAGACTGCAAAATGACAGTCAAGCTCAAAGCCTTTCACTAACTCAGTGACAGTGGGCTTACAGCTGGAGATGGCAGAGATTACCACGTGGTTAAAGCAGGGGTTGCAAATTGAACATAACTCCAGCTTTTGGTATTTTAACAGCTTTCTACCAGCCTGCTCAAAAATTAAATCAGCAGTCAAACACACCATTCTTCACTCTGATTACTGCTCAAGAATACAGGCAAAAAAAGTTTGGCAGGCATTTTCAACTAATTCTCCAACCAAGGACAGTGAAAAAGAAATGCTGAGACACAGGAGAATTAAAGGGACAAAAGGAAGAAACCTCAAAGAGGAACCCTCTAATAAAAAGCTACAAAACTAACTTGTACCAACAAATGGATCATAAATGCATCCCTGAAACATCAGGAAATAAATGATGGACTAACCCTGGGAAGCAAAGGCCACAATCTTGTGGTGAATTTTTTAATGCCAGGGATGATAATCTGGGTGGCAAAGACCCTTGGGTTCCACAGTTCAACAGCAAATAAAGTAGATTTCCCCAAATGACTAATAGTCAAAAGATATGAAAAGTCAGTTTTTCAAGAAAGAAATCCAAGCTACCAACAATTATTTGGGGAAAAAAATGCTCCAAATCACTATTAGAAAAATGCAAAATAAAGCAAAGTTGAGATTCTACCTCACATCCATCAGATTAGTAAAGGTGACAAAAGCGGAAAATGACATGTTGGACGAACTGCTGGTAGAATATATATTGGTCCAGCGATCCTGGAAAGCAATTTGAACCACTCCCCAAAATCACTAACTTGCATATCATCTGGCCCCTGCTAGGCCCTGAAGAGATTGAAAGGGGACAAATATGAATAAAATTACAGGGTTTTTTTTTAGAAGTGGTAAAGAACTTGAAAAGAACTAGAAACTAAAAGGGCACCTGTCAACTGGGGAACAGTTGAACAGACCATGATATATGAATGTAATGGAATTATACCTTAAAGATAAAGGACAAAGGGGGCAGTTTTGGAAAAAACTAAAGTATGAAATGATGGATCAAAGTGGACAGAACCAAAACAAGTTATAAAATAACAGCCTTGTAAAGACAAGCAACTTTGAAAGAACTGAGAATTCTGATCAATGAGTGACTAACAATTCCAGAGAACCACCAGTGAGGAATCTTCATGAGGTAGATGAACTGAAGATGCAGAGTGAGAAGTACACTTTCTGACACAGCCAAGGGAATTTGTTATGAGGGCTTTGTTTTTCTTTTTATAGTGTGGGGGAAGGTGGTATGAAAGAAAATACTGGTTTGTTGAAAAAAAGGAAAACACTAAATGGAGGGCAACAAAATGGGGGATCCAGTCAGTCATTTCAGGTACTTTTATTAGGTTTCACTTACAGGGCTGTGATTAAGATAACTCCAATTCAAATCCAACAAATGCACATCTGCAAACAAGCAAAGCTGGAGCACCAACACCCCTAGATAGCTAGTTTTTAGGTATGCAAACTGTAAGGGGAGAAAAGACCAACATCTTCTCTGCCAACAAGGGCTGCTGGAATGGCCTGCATGAGCCCTTCCATCCTGAGCACTTGTGAGTTACCACTTTCCTGGGACCATTATGGGCTCTGCTGTAGACAGTGCAGTGGACTACATCACGGGAGATGTGCTTCTGGCTGGGACAACAAAAGGAAAATGACCTATACTAACAGTAGGAAAGACAAGCCCAGTTTGGGCTTTCTGCATTTAGGAAGGCCAGAAGGCCAAACTGTGCCTTCGGACTCATCTGCAGGGCTGGGGTCAGTCATCCACCCTGAAGGAAGCAGCCAGGAGTTTGGTTAGGGGCTGGATCCTCCTACCAATACAGCTGCCATATTTGTAGCTTCATCTAGCCCTCAATAGCTTTCTTTGGATAACGGCATAAAGTCCATTACTGAACCAAGGTAGTTAAACAAAAAGAAAAATAAAACCAAGACAACAAAAAGTTGTGTAAATGCCAGAATTTCTCAGAGGGAAAAAGAGGTTGGTTGAAAGTAAAGTGAAACAAATACAGCAAATAAAGGAGACTAGTGCAAGCAGAGGAGGAGTCTCGGTCTTTCTTTCCTGTGATCATCATATGATCCCACATTTGTGATATGAAGTCTTGGAAGCAAGGTTAAGTTTCTGCTTGGTTTAAAAAGGAATAAAGAGAATGATTTCAGTGTGTGTACATAAGGAAGATCACTAACTAGATGCATTAAACTTCCAGAATAATCCTAAGGATTAGGTCTGAACTGAAAAGGATAGTCAATATTCCAAAAGAAATTTCAGTCCCCAATACCATTTTCAACAGCTCTAGAATAGATTACCTGGAGAGGTGCTTCCCTATGCAGGATTTCATGCTTCACTCTGTATCCTCTATTGCAATAGTACCACATGCCCCCCATAGAAGTTACTGCCCAGGCAAAACATAATCATCCAAACCAAACCCTTGGCCAGGAAAGCAGCTAATGCCACTAGCCAATTCTGCCCAAAGATATCAGCCAAAGCTTATACTGAGCTTTCTGACACATCAGAAGTCAACATGCAAACTAGCAGATGCAAACATTCTCTCTAGAACCCAAGAGGAAAAGAGGGTTCAGCATATGCAAGAAATATCATGATGTGCAGAAGTGGTAGAAGCACCCTACAGTGGTGCCCATTTTCCTTTATGCTGAAAGGCTGAGGATAATTTGCAGCTGGCATCAAGACAGAATGTAACAAGATGCCCATGCCATGCCAATTGGCTCAACATGGGGGAAGATTGTAAAGAACTTCCCTGGAGGTGCTAGGCTACTATGTACCTACCTACCTGCAGGCAGAGCCTTGGCGAGTAAATAGATGCCAGTGATCCCTTTAGGACCTCTGTTCTTTTCCCCCTCAGCTACCATTATTCACTTCCTCAGCTGCCTTCTCAAGGGATCTTGTGCAGACCTCATACTTAGCAGAACCCTAAATTCCCTCCTGGGATTGCTACAGTTGACATGCCAGTGAATCAGAAGCCAAGGACTCAGGAAGTAGGATGAGAAGAGAAGGTTAGTGGGTAGGAACACAATACTGAATACTGTGGGTGAGCTAAGCTCACCTCCGATAGATCCAGGGGACTATCAGCACTATTTAGAAATTTTAAAAGCAAAACACCCCCAACTGCAGTGCTCAGCTTCAGTGTTCCACTTGCATGGGTGCAGCTCACTCTTCTGTTCTCCTGATCTAGACTTTTTGTTTTTAAACCTATCCTTACTGTGTAGCTTGATGGAAAGACTCAGGCACTGAGGTTTACTTCAAAGGATAACTAACTGTGGATGCACACACCTACACACACCCCTACACGCCCATCCACAAACACACACCCAAAAAGGATTTATTAAGGTGAAAGCTTGAGAACGGAGGGGGAAAGGGAAGTGGAAAGTAGCCTCTCACACCTCCCTTTTGTGTGGCATTTTTCCCTTAAAAAATAAAAACAAATAAACCAAAAGGGCCTGTAGGCAGGAATTACAAATTGCTGTCCTTATAACCAACTCAGACCTTTAAATCTCACCTCCTAGTTTGGTGAGAGAAGGAAAAGGTGAAAAGGGGGAGGGGGGGGAAATCATGCAAATCAACAAGGGAAGAAGCCTCCTGCTCCAAGACACAGCTCAGCTGACTAAGCCGGTTCTCATTCTCACCAGGTGACTAGCCAAGCTGAGGGGGTAGAAGCATCCACCACTATCAGCAGGCATCCAATACCTAGTAATGGAGTAGAGGACAAGGCAGAGGACCAACAAAATTTTAAAAAGGGAATGGGGTAAAGGAGTGGAGAGTTAAGAGAATAAAAAAGGGAGGAAATTGCAAAAGGAAAAGGGAAGGCTGCAGGAAAAGCAAAATCCAGGTGACACAGAAGGGCGCAGTCCTTATCAAATACAAATTGCAAAACTGTAAACTGAGGTTAAATGTCTTGCATTAGGGATACAGTTTTGGGATTTCCAGTTTTGAGATTAAATTCAGCCTGGCAGAAAACCCAGCCTTGGATCCCTCTATCTAGTGGGTACCCTCTGAAAAGAACAGTGCCAAGATGCTTCTGTGGGTCACAGAGACCCAAGGGTAGCCTTTTCCCCTCCTTCAGGTCTGCCCACCACTGGGGCATCATTACAGGGGAAGAATCATGAAAAACGATCCTGGCTTCTAAGAGGGCTGAGAGTCTGGTCCCCAGGTTTGCCCAGGAGGATAGTGGGGAGTGTTAGGTCCTGGGGAGGCTACACATCTCGCAGTGGTCCGTGCCTGGCTGGTTCATGAAGGTGCAGTGTTGACAAGCCCACATTGCAGAGGAGGTGGCATGTGTTGAACCCCCAATGGCACCATACTCATGCATTCCTGGAAGCTGGACACCAACTGTACCTGTGGGGAGAGGAAAAGAAATCATACTACTGGTGGGCAGAGAAGAAAACAAGGAGGGCATGCTAGCCCATCTGGATTCGTACCATTTTTCACAATACTACTGATATTTCTGATGTTACTTGCTACCAATGTGTGAGATAATGTATGGCCATACTGCACACGTGTGAAGACCATTCCCTGATTGCTATTACAGCTGTTGTCTGGACAGTCTTTTTTTCCACTCTGCCCTCCAGTCAAAGCAATGTTTTTCACTGCTTTCCATCCTTGCATTAGCCAGACAGTTGTCTTGAGTGACCATCACTAGCAAGCCTCAAGGCAAGCATCCCTCAGGATTCTCACCAGGGAGAGGAATGCAAACAGTAGCGGAAGCTGCCTCATTGTCAAGAACTGTCTTGCTGGTAAGGCAAAACCCTTCTCTCCTCTTCTTCACTTACTTCTACAAGATCTCTTTGCTGACCATCTGACCACCCAACTTGCTCTGCCCTACTGCTGAAAGTTGCTACTTCTAAGGACTTTAGACATATCAAACTAGTGCAGACCTCTGGCATTTATGTCCCATTTGATTTCTAATGTTTACTTGGCATCAGACTCATCCAATGCCCCAACCCTTGTGCTTTATGGGCTTCCCTAGTGGTGTCCTCAGACCACCCTCAGTTGATGAATGGGAAGCACTATATACTACACCAGGCCTTCTAAACCCTTCAATCCAAGTTTACTTTCCAGCAGACAGCAATAAGTCAGGTAAAGCAAAAAGAAATCAAAGAATATGTAAATGTTGAAGGCCTGTGATGGCCATGATAGTAAAGTTCACACAAAAAAGAAACCAAGAGATCTACCAGAATTGTGGAAGCAGAGCAAGGTATATGGTCAAATCATGAAACAACAGCCAAGAAGTCTGCAGAACTGAGGGCGAATGGGTGGAATGGCCAGAACAGACACACAGCATCCACAGCAAAAGAACGACTGGTAACAGCAGTAACCGGCTGGCACAGCTTCAGTGACCTTTCCCCTCTTCACATACTGGTAACAACCAGTCCAGCTTCCAGGGATGCTGAGAGGGAGCCTGGCCTAGAGGCTTGTTGGTGATGACAGAGTGTTAACAGCTGGCTTGTAGAGCAGGCATTACCTTGACAAATGCAAGCACTCACTGCTGATCCTAAACCTTCACTCAGAAATTATCTCAAATCATGATTACTTCTTGTAAGAAAAGTCTGCCTGGTGCTATTATTCCCCAGCCACGCACAATACAATACAGTTATAGCTTGACATGGATCCAGTACTTTTTAATCAAAAATATTAAATACCTGAAAGAGGTTCAGGAAGTTTCGTTCTTGTAAGACTAGTGAAACACCCTTCTCCCTCCTTCATTCAAAAAACCTAGGAAATTTCCCAAGCATATTAATGTCACAAATATGAAGCTAGCCCAGAAGTCAGGGCACTGGGAGTGATTTCTGGTTCTGCATCATGACCTCCAAGGTCAACCAAGCCCAAAACACTTTTATCATTCTGGTTTCATAAAAATGGAAACAAGAATTTCTGACAAATCCTTTTGGCTAGGCTGTGTGGAGGAATGGTAATGGTAACTAATATTTCTATAGCACCTGAGAAGTAGGTGCAGTTTTCATATCCATTTATAGGAAACTGAAGCAGCAATTGTTTTAAGTGATTTGCCAGGGTTCTGCAGTTGGCACCCAAGGCAGGATTCAAATGAGGTCTTCCTGACAAGACCAGCACTCTCTGCACTCGAACTCCAGGGACTATTTTGAGGTAATTCCAAGGTGGTCACTGGACTTGTGTTTGAAATTCTGGTTTCCTAAAGGTTTCTAATTCACTAACATAATATGACAGATAGAAGAGGGGCACTTTATGCCTGTGAATGATATGGATGGGTGCTGTATAAAGAGATATAAATTTAGGGAAGCTGTTGTCAGTCAAAAGTACTGGCCAAGAAGCAGCTAAGTGGTGCAGTGGATAGAGCACTGGCCCTGGAGTCAGGAGGACTTGAGTTCAAATCTGGCCTCAGACCAGACACTTGACACTTACCAGCTTTGTGACCCTGGGCAAGTCACTGCCCCCCCTCCAACCAATTAACATGTCCAAAAGTACTGGCCAAGAGCACTTTCTTATTTCTCCAGTGGCATTACGATGTGCCTGAGGCTCTTGAAGTCCACCTGCCTTAGCTCCTGCCTCTACTATACTATAAAACTCTGTGAAGACAGGAACTGTGCTTCCACACAGTGGTTAGCACAGAGAAATAGTTATTACTCAATGACTGAACAACTGGTGATCCTAGACATGAAAAGGAGGTAAGTATGATGCCAACAACATGCTGGAAGAATGAGTTCTAGCTTGAGCAATCAGCCTCTTTCAGCCAGTTTCCTCAGCTGTTAAAAAGGGGGGGGGGAATGACAGCTGCCCTGCCTATCTTATGGGGATGTAATGAGAAGGCAAATGAAATAATACATGTGAAGATGCTCTAACATGCTTGCATACACATACATACAGATATACATACATGTGTGCATGTAAAAACTCAACTATAGGGCAATTCCTTAGATGAAATATTAGAATCTCTTTGCAGGAACACCCCTCTATTCATGTCACAATTCTGGGTGTCAAATATATCTGTAAGGCACCTCCTAAACAAAACTGGGGACTGGTATTTGAATTTAAAAGAACAGCTTGAGGTGGCAGCTAGGTGGTGCAGTGGATAGAGCACTAGCCCTGGACTCAGGAGGACCTTAGTTCAAATCTGGCCTTAGACATATCACTTATTAGCTGTGTGACCCTGGGCAAGTCACTTATCCCACTGACTAGCCAAAAAAAAAAAAAACCCAAAAAACCAGCTTGAGATCACTTCTTAAGAAAGGGGACATTATAAGACTATAATAAGGAAAATGGAAAGAACAAAATCAAAATAAAACTTGAATACCTGTGTAATTATATGATGGCAAAGTTAGGCCCTAAAGAAGAAAATACATGTCCCTTCTTTCTCTTCGAGGGGGCAGAGGGAGAACAGAAAAGAACGAGGCTGTGGGTCTGGGACACTGCATATACCATCAGCTTCAATTAATATCGATTAGCTGTGCTTATTGCTTTACTCCCCTTCGTTCTTTTCCATCTTTTGTTACAAGAGATGGTTCTCTAGGCAGCAGAGGAGAGAGGCTTATGTAAAGGAAGGTTATGTAAACACAAAAGATATTAATAAATTTTTTAAAGTAGCCAGCCACACTTTAAATACAACTAAAAAACAAAGAGGTTATGTTAAATAATATGAAAATTTTAAACTATAGCTGTTCAATGGAATCAGAGATGCACAGTCAGATAGAAAGGGAAAACAAACCAATCTGCAAAGTAAAATCATGCCAGACTCAGGTTTTCCTTTCTTTTGGTAGAGATTCCCACAACTATAGCATGAGGAGGTAGGGACAAGGACTCTATCTTATCTGTTTTTCCTTCTTGATAGCTATTCAAACTTCTAGTCAGTACAGAACTTACTGTATGTTTTCATTCCTCTTGCTCTCTTTTAAATCAGACTAAAATTTTCTGCACACAAATCAACTTTTCCTGACTTTCTAATTCTTTCTGTTCACATTTTCCCCAAGGCTGCAGGGCACTGCAATGGGCTCTAATGAATGCCCATTCACAGAAATCACTGAACCTCAGAGGCCATCCAACCCAATCCAAACCTGGACCCTCTACGAAAACACCTGACAAGTGATTATCTAGCCTTTTTGCTTGAAATTTTTCAGTGGAGGGAATACTCACAACTACATGAGGTAGCCCATTGTGTATCAGTACATCTAACTGTTGAGAAGTTTTTAGTTATATCAAGCCAACTTTGTCTCTTCAGAACTACTACCCATTGCTTCTAATCATGTCAGCTGAGGCCAAATAGAACAAATCTTCCATCTTCCCAGTCTGGACACTGGAAGCAGAGTTCGCACCTTTTAATACAACCTAAGATGGCTTTAGCTTTCTTGACTGCCATATTGTAACTGCTATGTGAGCACACACTTCACTAAGACCTAAAGATCTTTTTTTAAATGAGCTACTAGCTAGACATTCTTCCCTCATCTTAAACTTGAGGGAGATCCACTACAGACTTCCCTCTTGAAAATGATATCAAATCATTAATGATTAGTAAGTCCAGGCAGCTGAGAATACACCTAATTGTACACACCTAATTTGAGATTAGCTGAGTCTTTTTCCACAAACAGAGAATATGAGAATTTGTCAAATGCTTTGCTAATATCTAGGTAATCTATTTTTCTGATCAGTCTAGTAACCTTGTCAAAAAAAGAAATACAATCAGTCTGGCACAACCTGTTTTTGATGAACCTATGAGGATTCTCTGTGATTAATATTTCCTTTTCTAGACATTCACTAATTTTTACTTTAATAATAAATTCTAGAATTTTCCTAGCTTCTGTTTAATATTTCTATGCTGCTTGTGCAAAGCTCACAAAAATAATTCTGTGGAAAAAGTAATCTGGTGATGCAGCATTAGCACTAAGTGCTAAGTGACAGCTGGTGGGACTGCCTGAAGCACATACTGGAATTCCTGTACTTAAAAGCCCACATCACCTGCTCAGTTTGGAATACTGCATGAACCTGCTGAGGGAATAACTCATTTTCTGTCATTTTTCAGAATAATGCAACACAAAGTATAATTTGAAAAAATGGGAGTTTTAGCCAGCTATTTTACTGGTTTTATAATCAAGAGGTTTATTATGTAAAAAGAAAAGTCCTCCCCATCTCCCCCAATCATTACTTACCCCCTCCCTCCCCTACATCCCCTCACATTTAATATGAGAGTTCTTTGGCCATTAAGCTACTCTTTTAATACATCTCTTTTCAATGGATCCCCTCACTTTCTGGTGAATATCCACATACCTAACTGGCTTGAAGATAAAACCTATATTTTAAAAAACCAAACACAACAATGACATTTTCAAGTTTCTTTGTATATGACACTCGGGCATTTCTCAAATCTGCAGAGAAAAAGCCTACAGTTACAAAGGGCCCAGGGAACTGAAGTTGTTTGAGATGGAACTGTGGTTTCAAATTGGGATGGTTTTTAAAGCCAATGTAAACCAACATAAAGTACGTGTGTGCTTGTGTGGGGTAAAGAACATTTATTAGGCATTGAAGATGTCACAATAGTTGAGACCTAATTTGGATTTTGGACTGTGATATATTCTATCATTAGTCAAGGACATTTTGAAGAAGGGTAGGTGTGGAGAAAGGTCTGTCTACGAGGCATTCTCCACTGCCAGAAATGCCCAAATGTGGCTTTTAGCCAAGCTAGTGCTTATCAAAATACCAAGTTTCTGTTTGGTAAGCTGTTTCCAAGAAGTTTAAAAATATGCCATGGCAGACATTTTTAGTTTGGACCTGCTCTATCACAAAGAACCTTACACTCCACTAAGGTTTGAGTCCTAGAGGGAAAAAATAAACTATGAGTTTATAAAACACCAAGTGGTAGTATTTAGAGATTTCAAGGCTTTGTTTCTCTTCTTAAATAGGGAGCATAATGACTCCCAGAGTTGGGGGTGCAGGGAGAGAGAGAGGAGGGTAGGAGGTGCTGGGGCTATGGGAACAGAATGTAGGTACTTACTGCAGAGCTGTTCGATGGTGGCCCACTGCTCAGATTTTTTCCAAGTCTGTGCTAGCTCCTCATTCCTAGTCCTCACGGCCTCCAGCAATAAGCTAATGCTGTCCTAAAAGACACCAAAATCAGTAAGTTTAAACCTGCTTTGTGAAGTATAGACAAAAATGTAGCTAGTAGATTCCTATGACTCTTGTTGAAAGGACAAACTTCTGAGGGAATTAAAGAAATCCTGTAGTTGCCACACCACGAAGCTCAAAAAACCACATCCTTTGGGCTATAAACGGGTATGCTAAATCAAGCTTCTAAATCCTCCCTAAATAACCCCCAAGTGGGGGATACTGTGTCTGTCTTTCATGTACTAACAGGCTATTCAGGATCATAGAAGATAAAGGAGAGGGTCCTTTATCCTGGGGGCTCATATTCTTAGGACAGGCGAACAAAGAGTCACACACAGGTATATGAGCTGACTGAGTGATGTAATAACTGTAGTCTTCTCCTCACTCCCCCCAACTCAGCTCCTCCTTATCTTGGGGATTATGTCTTTTAAAAACACACTTCATGCCCAAGGCCCTCAAGGCTAACACATGGTATTTTAAAAGTTACAAAATTAAAAGGTGAAGACTTCAGGGGGCTCTTAACAATGAATATCCAGACAAAGGCTGCTCCAACATACCCTATTCATCTGCAAAGTATATTTTTCAGATAGGTAAGTTGAGGAAGGGTGAATAGTATTAGGGCTATTGATATAAAAAGTACAAATGAGGCAGCTAGGTGGTGCAGTGGATAGAGCACCGTCCCTGGAGTCAGAAGGACCTGAGTTCAAATCTGGCCTGAGACACTTGACACTTACTAGCTGAGTGACCCTGGGCAAGTCACTTAACCCCGATTGCCTCACCCAAAAATAAATAATTAAATAATTAGATGAAATGCCGAAATTTGTAAAGTTCTTCACATTACCTCATCAATTCAGATGGTTAGTTTGATCAATCAAATTTGGAAACTGACAGGTCTAAGTACTGGGATACAACCAAGGAGAAAAAGTGCAAGCTGAAAGTGGTATATGGGCCAGCTGTGCAAGATTAGACTTTACTTATTTTTTTTTTGGAGGCAACTGGGATTAAGTGATTTGCCCAGGGTCACACAGCTACTAAGTGTGTGAGGCCAGATTTGAACTCGGGTCCTCCTAACTCCAGGGCTGGTGCTCTATGCACTGTGCCACCTACCTGCCCCAAGACTAGTCTTTAAAGGAAGAGAAAAGAAGTTGCTGCCAGACAAAATGGGAGCTGCAAAGACCAACCAAGTAGCATGTACCAGAAGCTTCCTTCCATGCATGATGCAAAGGCAAAAAGGAAGGAGCAACCTATTTCACCTCTGTTTTAGAAGAATCTATCCCACGGACTACCAGAGCTGTCAGCCAATGCTTTAACTCAAGGGGAATTCCAAACATGCTGTTTAGCTTCCTCCTTGGTATTTTTTCAAAATGAATGGCTAAAGCTGAAGGATCCCAGCTACAACACTGATTAGTCCAGATCTCCAGCTGCCCACTGTCAGCCTAACTGTTCTGCAAATGCCAACAGTCTCTAACTCCCAGTATGTGTAAGACATGTGCCTTTTTTTTTCTCTGTGTGTCTTTAAAATCAGAAAACGCCAACTGTGCAGATGTTAATTCCATGACTGGTAATCAGCCAAGCTCTCTATGCCAAGATATTAATACTATTTTGGGGGAGAAAGATATAAGAGAAAAGAACAGGAACGGTAATTTTGAACTATGACAGGAATTTTTCTGGTATTTCTAATGTTTTCTGCCTTAGGACAGAGTAGAATTGGCTCTGCTTATGATTAGAAAAGAAAAAGCTACCCTCAACCTCAAAAGGCAAGGCAAGCTTATGAAGCCTTCCCAGTGAAGAGTCCAAAATCAGAAAAATTCATCTTCCAATCATTAAACAAACACCTTCTTTTTGCAAAAAGCTACTCTTTACATTCTCTCTCTCTCTCTCTCTCTTTTTACTCTCTATATTCTCAAAGCCTGAAGCACAGAAAGACTGGGAAACTGATTTTAGAATCAAATTCTCTTTCAGGCAACCACAGCTACATTCTAGTTTCTGCTATGGAGATACCTAAGTAGGAGAGAATGGCAACAATTTCCCAGATGAATATCACTCCCACAAGGCAATTTTGGACTCCATATGCTTAGGTTTCTAGCCAAGAATTTTCTCCTTGGGTTACATACCTGAAGAGGCATGACTTCATTGGTGACCAGAAAGAGGAGCAGATGGAAATCTGAGATGATGTCTAGGAAAATGGAGGAGGTGTTCTGAGACAAGTATGTAGCCAAACTATGAAAATCCTGTAGTGATCAGGGAAAGAGAAAAAATGAAGATTTACTATAATTCCATTTCAGTTCTCCAGCTCCATAGTGAAGAAAGTAATAATTTTTCCATTTAGACTTATTTGAACAAATACAATGCTGGCAAGTGGTTTTGTTTTGTGTTTTTTAAACTGAGATTAAAAAACATGGGATCCAAAGTGAAAGAATAGTTTCAAAAGAGTTTCTGACATTCTTCTGGAAAGAGAACCTTAGGGATAACACTCAATTAGTGAGGTTAAGAGACTAAGCAAGTGTTAAGCAGATCCAGGTATAGAAGATACCTTAAAATAGCTGGAAAAAAGATCCTAATTTAATTCAGTTTCACACATCTGGGAGAAAAAAATGATGCATAGCAACAAATTCCACTTAGGGGTAAAAATGTAATATTTGGCTTTTTTAGTCCATCTGAATCTTCTCCTCACCCTGATTCTTGAGCAAACACGTGGCAGAAGATTCAGACTTTAGGCAGGAAACCACATCTGTGAGAATGTTCTCCCACATGCTAAATTTCTTGGACATGTCTTCGAGGGAAAAAGTCCAAGTCTATGAAGCACCTCTGGAACACTATAAAAGTGACCATTCAGAAGGAAACCTTATTAATGAAAATGCATGAAAAAAACCCCAACAACACCAATTTGTACCCGAATGTTTCAGTCACTGCTATCATGCCCACATCTGACAAAACAATGAAGGAGATATTTCAGTGGAAGAGGCTTTGTGCAATAGTGAAATGACAGATTCAGCCACTGTATTAAACATTTACTAGCTGTGTAACTCAAAGAAAGTAACTTGAGCTCTCTGAGCCTTGGTTTTCCTCCATTATAAAGGAGGAAGAACAATTCTTTACAAATTTCTTTAAAAATATGCTTATTAAAAAAAAATTTTAAAAAAAAAGAAATATGCTTATATTTTACAACCAGTCTCTCTGATAAGGGCCTCATTTCAGAATTAAGTCAAATTTATAAGAATACAAGTCATTCCCCAATTGATAAATGGCCAAAGGATATGAACAGGCAGTTCTCAGATGAAGAAACTAAAGCTATCTATGGTCATATGAAAAAATGCTCTAAATCACTACTGATTAGAGAAATGCAAATCAAAACAACTCTGAGGTACCACATCACATCTATCAGATTGGCCAACATGACAAAACAGGAAAACAATAAATGTTGGAAAAGATGTGGGAAAATTGAACACTAATGCATTGTTGGTGGAGCTGTGATATGATCCAATCATTCTGGAGAGCAATTTAGAACTTTGTCCAAAGGGCTATAAAAATGTGCATACCCTTTGACCCAGCAATAGCACTTCTAGGGCTATATCCCAAAGAGATCATACAAATGAGAAAAGGACTCTCATGTACAAAAATATTTTGTGGTGGCAAAGAATTGAGAGGATGTCCATCAATTGGGGAATGGCTGAACAAGTTGTGGTATATGAATGTAATGGAATACTATCGTGCTATCAGAAATGATGAACAGGCTGACTTCAGAAAAACCTGGAAAGACTTGTATGGACTGATGCTGAGTGAAGTGAGCAGAACAAGGAGAACGTTGTACTCAGTAACAGCCACGTTGTGCAATGACTAATATTGACAGACTTAACCCTTCTCAGCAATACAAGGATCTAAGACATCTCCAAAGGCTTTATGATGGAAAATGCTATCCACGTCCAAAAAAAAGAACTACAGCGTTTGAATGCAGATCAAAGCATACTATTTGCTACTTTTTTCCCTTCTGTTGTGTTTTGTTTCCTCTTTCTGGTGGTTCCTCCTATTGGTTCTAAGTCTTCCTTACAACATCACTAATGTGAAAACATGTTTAATAGAAATGTATATGTAAAGCCTATATCAGATTGCATGCTGTATTGGGGAGGGAGGTGGGGAGGGGGAAAAATTAAAACTCAAAAGCTTATGGAAGTGATTGTTGATAATTCAAAATAAATTAATTTTACAAAGTAAAGAAAAAGAAAAAAGGAATATGCTTATAGAAATATTAGTTACAAAGGCTCTAAAGAAATACAAACCACTCTAATTACTATGTGTATGAAAGACAATCATCTCAGGACATGGGACAGCTTGTGGGAAGGACAGCAGCAGCTTACACTTCTTTAGCTGCAGGAGTTTGTCTCAATTCATAAAATGGGACTGCTGCTAATATACCTAACATAACCACTAAGTTTGGAAAAAGTGAAGAGTCAACTGAAAAGGGTCCTTTTCCCAAGGTCCCACAGGCTTCTGGGGATTTAGAAGAGACTGGCCCAGCTAATAATCTGTCACTCGAAGCCATAGGCCCTATAGCAATTAAGATCAAAACTGTCTCTGTCAAAGGTCTGGTTAGGTTCTTTGAGAGGCATGAATAAGAGAGACAGATCAAGTACTTGGCACTTTCTGGAAAAATAGCACTGACACAGGGTCAATCTTCAGATCTTTTAAAATATATTTCTGGGGATGAGGAGCTTACCTGTGTCTCGCCTAGGACATCTCGGTTCTCAATAGGGAATGGATTTTGTGAAATAGAAAAAGTATAAACTGGATCCTTGGGGAAAGTCGTCGTGATCTAAGTGAATAAACAAACACGAATCTAGGATAAACCAGATTATATGACAGGGATATGGATGCTATTCCAATATCTCTACTTAGCTCAGAGCCCTTATATGACCCCTAAGCTTTATAAGGTGCTGGTATTAATTCTTAAAGTTTTTTAAATTCTTACAATGAAATAAAAAAAATTAACTTCTATGGGAGTCATTCCCAAATGAAAACTAAGAAACTATGGGACTCTGGGAACAAAAACATTATAGTAAAATCTCAAAATCTGGACAAAGTTTTCTGGACCCTATCACTACTCTTTTTTTTTTCTTTCTTTTGGCAGTTCAGCCCTTGCTTGGACAGGGTTAGTGGGCAGCTTCCACTTTATGGGCCTTTTCTTAATACAGGTTTTTTTTTTCCTGTTATCTATACACTAAAGGGTGGTTTTCAACTCCCATCAGCACTAATGTGAACTATGTGAGAAGAAGCACAAGAAGGTATCTCCAGGAGGCACTAAGAAGCTCAAATTCATGTGACTGGTTTTGGGAGCATATGCAGACCCAACCAGTGACAATTTTAGGAAATGGAACGACTTTAAGCCAAATTGCTAAAACCATTAATGGCACTCGATAAGTTTTTAGTGCCCAGGAACAGTTCTCACGCAGCTTTTGTACTTTGCAAAAAGGGAAGGAAAACAAAAGCAAGCGAATAACATAAGGACCACAGTTTCTTTGCTCTCCTTCAGTGAAGAAAAAGCCTGGACTCAAGAGCTGATGCCAAAAGCCGAGTCTCAATCCTTTCATTTGGCTCAGAAAGGTTTAAGTGATGACAAAGAACATTTTAAATCTAAAATACAATCAATACGTGTGACAGGGACAGTGGTAAACGTACAGGAATCAATACAAATAGGGTTTTTTATTTCTACTGCCAGATGCCCTCCCCATGAAAGCACCCAAGTGTGAGCTATTAACCACCTTTTGGTTGACACAGCTTTTCTGCTGCAATATGACACTTACAGCAGTAGCAGATTACACCTATCTCAGATTTAGGGCAGCCATTCTAGACCCTATGGGACTATTTCTAAGCCTTGGAAATGTTGTTCTGTTCAGCTTTCTACAGACGCAAAAGCAGCTAACTGTTTCATGGCTCGCTGGCCTGGGATTCTGTTGTGACTGTGCCAGTTGCCAAAGGAGGATAGGCTGAACCATCAAAAGAGTCTACAGTCAGGGTAGAATAAGGTTTTCAAAAATCTTTTTAAGTTTGAGATCCATGTTGCAATGGCTAAATGGAGAAACAGAGATAAGTCTGGGAATGTATTATCTTATTTTAAATCTTAAATTTGGAAAGGGATAGGCAGAAAGAAATGGAAAGGTGGCTCCAAGATGTTTACTACTAAGTGAACTTGGAACTAATGCAACATCATTCATCACCACCATCCTACCCTGAAGAGCTACAGAAGAGGAGGCCACATAGTCAGAGGTATGAACCTCTGATTCTATGAGCTGGTGGCCACTCTTCCACACAAGAGTCTTGGTGAATGGCAAAAGACCCTCATTTCTCCTCATAGAGGACTGACCTGGTTCTGGCCCAGTTCCAGAAACTGAGGAAGCCCTCAAACCACCATGATTCAGATTTGTACACAACTTTGGAACATGTGGTGGACTATTTGGGAATACTAACACTTAAAACAGAGCTCATTTTAAATGAGCCATTCTTGAGAAATTCTATATCAAAACAGAACATGCTAAATGTTTTCTATTGAGCTATCCACCACTTTCTTTCTACGGGCTGCATCATTTGGCCTTTTGCTATATATCTGCTTCCACCCAAGATGGTCTAGTGATTCAAGCACTTCGACTCAAACAGAGATCTTAGGTACAGGGAAGAACTATTCATACTTTGTAACTGAACACAAAATGCAGAATCAACAATTATTCTACTGCAGCAAGAGGTTTAACTTCATTTTTAAAAGGAGAAGGAAAGGCATTTTATAAATTTGGTTTTGAATCACCCTGACTTACATTAAATATATGTTCCATCAATCTGTTTTCAACTTAATTACACCCTAGGTAGTATAAAAAACAGATGCCTTTACTGACAGGGTAATAAATATGTTCCCTGGAGCTGTCAATTGGAATGGGTTGTCAATAGGCTCTACTCACAGGGATCTACTATTCTAAATGCAATGATATTTTCCTGCCTTAAAAACATGCCCACTCCAAGTCTAAACACAGTCCCTAGCATGACAAAAATATAAGAAACAAGCAAAAGAATGAAAGTCTTTGGCATGCTAACCTAATCAGTTCAGACAAGGTTGATGTTACCATATCCTCTGTTTTACTGGGTTACTGCTATCATTATATTTGTCCTCTTTAAATAGGTTCTCCCCTTTGTCCTGCTCCTACTCTAAAAGCCATGGAAGGATGGATGGACTGGAGAGAGACCTTAGGCAAGGGGATCAGGTGGTTACTGCCATTATCCAGGTAAAAGGGAAGGCGATGAGGGAACTGAACCAGAGCGATGACTGTATGAGCAAAAAGAAGAGGACAGATATGAGAGACGTTTTAGAGGCAGAATGGACAAGACTTGGCAAATGATTAGATGTGTCAGTGACAGTCAAGTCAAGAAGCAGTAAGTGCTCATTATGTACCAGGCACTGCGCTAAATACTGGGGAAAACAAATATAAGCAAAAAGAAAAGACAGTCCTTCCTAGCCTTCAAGCTCATTCTAAGATCCTCGAGGGGCTCAAGCAGAGCACATATAGGAGGGAGATAAAAGCATAGGCGGACCAAAAGAGGTGCACTCTCAGAGCATGGCCAGTCAAATACAAAGAGTAAAAGATGATGGTCCTGGGCTCTTCCTCAAAACGGAGGTTCTGGGAAGAATGTGGAGAAAGACAGGGTGCAGGGCAAAGGGCAAAGACAGATGAAAAGAGAAGGCAAAGAGGACCATGATGTTGCAAACCTGGGTGATTAGAAGGATCGCACCTTTGACAGAAAAAGGGAAAATAACAAATTCTGTTTTGGACATATTGAGTTTAAGTTGCCTCATACATAGTAGGAGCTTAATAAATACTTATTCCTTCCCTTTCAAAGGTGCCACCATTCTGCCAGTCTCTCAGATTCATAATCTCAGCACTATCAACTCTTCATTCTTTATCATCCCACATATATTTATCAGTTGGCAAATCTTGCCATTTCTATCTCAATAATAGCTCTTACATCAGACACTCACACAGCCACTACTTTACTTTTGGCTCTCACACTTTTTTTTTGCCACGACTTCCTAATTGGTCTTCTTGCCTCAAGTCTCTTCCCTATTACAGTCAATCCTCCAAAAATCTGCCAAAGCGATTTTCCATAAGCACAGATCTGATCAAGTCATTCTTTCAACCAATAAACTTCAATGGGTCCTTATAGCTTCTAGGATCAAACACAAAATCCTCTATTTACCTTTTAAAGCTCCTCACAACCTGGTCCCTACCTGGCTTTCTATATTAGTGGACATGATTGCCCTTTCCTTGATCTAGTCTTCTAGATATGGCCTTATCTCTGTTCCTCACACATGGTACTGTATCTCCCATATCTGTGCCTTTGTATCAACCAACCTCCAAACCTGGAATCCATTCTTTCCTCCACTTTAGAGAATGCTTTTCTTTTCTCCCTCATGCAGATTTACCTGATCCCCAACTGAACGCATCCTCCCACCATAACTATCTTGTGCTTAGCTACCATGTACTTATACTTTTGGTATTTATTTTACACATATTTATATATGTACTTGTAGTCTCCCCTGTGGTGCATAAACTCCTTGAGTAATGACTGCTTCATTCTTTGTGTTTATATCCTTTCTACCTAAAAAAGCAAGTAGCACAAAAGGGAGAACAAAGCCAGAGCAGAAGTGATCACTTGGGAAAGCATAAAGGGTAGAAAGATAAGAGGTCATACAGAGGATGAAGACCAGCTTTACGTGTAGTAAATGAAATAAGAGATCATGACCATAGCTCTTGATCATGAATGATGGGAAGACCAAGTGTGTGACCATTCTTAGGTGCAGCCAAGGTGGAACTGCATAATAGGTCTGGGAGTTGAGGAGACTGAAGAAGTGGGAGGTAGGGTATTGAAGGAACAGCAATATGTATGCTGAAGTCTCCTAACATAAGGACCCTAGGTTTGGAGTAGAACACTATGAGCCATGTACTGAATTCTTTTAAGAAAAAAGGGAACATCGTCTGGGGAACAGCTAGATAATAGCCACCAGGATCTGGATAAAATAATAGAAAGGACCTCACAGGAGGAAAGGTTTGCTGAATGATGGTGGCAGAAAGAAAGTTGGAAAGTGGCAAAGGGGAGCAAGGTGTATTCCAACCTTGCCCCCAGGATCAGTAAATCAGGGGGTGTATGAGAGAAGATAAAGTACCAGAAAAGATCACCAGGGATGTAATGTCATCCTGGAAGCCAGATCTCTGTGCCAGAGGATGAAAAGAGCATACGAGTCTAAAATCTTCATTTTATGAAGCTTATTAATTATGAAACAGGAGTTCTTTAGGACATAGTGGAACGGGTGAGTCGATCTGAAGAAGGACGACACTGGAGAGTTAGGCTTGAGTTGAATAAGGACAAGAGAAAAGTAACAAAACCATTTTTTTCTTTTGGGAAAGTCAAAAAGATCAGTTATTTCCTGGGTTTCTGGAAAACCAGTTGGGGGATGGACTGTTTTCCTGTAAGTAAAGATACTGAAGTCATGGCTTGAGACTAAATTTGACTTCTTTGAAGAAAGGCACAATACTATATACCTTTTAAAATGGGTCCACTGGTAAGAAATTCAGTATCTTGACAGGAGTGGCCAAATGTTAGTTCTTAAGGTGACAACAACTTCAATTTGCTTTATTTGGCCTTCTTGTATCCACCCTCACATAAAGTATAAGATCAGTGACTTAAATATTCTGCCAACTAGGTGGGGGCTAGAGATCCTTCAGTTGTTTTTAAGGAAACAAAACAAAAACCCTGAAATTTGTTTTTTAAGTCTCTAATCCTTTTTTTCCCCCTAGGAACTTTTCCAGGCATGCTCAGAGCTCCTTAAGATATGTGATCTAAGTTGTTCTCCATGGTATATTACAGCTTCCAATACTACCCAAAAGACTAAATATAAGGCAAAGACTTACATCTATGATCAGATACTCCACAGGGAGGGGGCGGGCCAGCTGAGTGATCTCATTACCAAACTTATCTATGTCCTAAAAGAAAAAGAAGTCAAAGGTTAAGCACTCTGTTTATACAGGAACACTAAAGGACAGGACATTTGTCCTTCAGAGTCAGCCTTAGAGTCACTTCAATTCTTTCTTAAGCTCATGAAAAGAGAGTAAAATCTGCATATTTTCACAACTGATCCATCTTCCATCATTTCTTGGAGCATTTTAATACAGCCATAACACAGGAAAGCAGATGTACTACTGGCTAATAGTAAGACACTACAGTGGGCATGAATTCAAACATTTCCTTGCTCCCTTCCCAAATGGTGGAGTTTCAGTGTTCCATGGTAGCTCTGTGAACTGGCTAAGCAAAAAAGCAGATAGGTTAGTGATACCTGTCTCTTCCACTCAGGGTTGATTTGTACCACTGTTGTCCTCCTACAAGCAACATTTAATTACCATTACCTAATAATTCCATTCCCACCTCTGAAAACTTTCCTTTAAAAATCTTGATGAGTAGTAATAAACATATATACAAATGAATACACACACATACAAAAAATACAGAGAACTAAAAAAAAACCTGACAATCTGTCAAAGTCTAAACTTGTTTTGCTTTGTCAGATGCTTCGAACATAAAGTTTAATTATGGGGGGAAATGGCCAGCATATGTTCATTAATCATAACATGACAATTAGATCTGATTTATGTCAAACATTCTGAATTCAAACATAGCTCAAGAAATAAATTCATAAGAACTGACGCTTTTCATTAAAGATTCTGTGGGGGGGTAGTTTTTCTATCTAAATCATCACTTATTATATAAATCATTCATTGAATCACATATGAATTATATATCTATAATTTCCAATTACAGGACCCTACATAAAAGTTTATGTCATTAAGGCTTTCAGATACTGAACTAGTTGCAAGTAGATCCTCCTGAGGTGTGCAGTGTGGTTCAAAGTCATCATCTAACACATCAGCATTCTTCCTGGACAACGTTCAGAGGTGGTCAGTATCTCTATCTTCTAAAGCCAATCACCACGAACTATTTGTAAGTCAAAACAATCCCATTATCTGAACGAGAAATCCATCAGCCCCAATTTGGACCTCTCTCATTTTAAATTAAATTTTCTGGCATGAGGCCTTTCTATACATCCATATCTATATTCTAGCTTAAATTGAGTTGTTCCTCAATCTCATACTCTGTTCACTTCCATGCATTCACACAGATTGTTCCATCCTGTCCCCCATCCCTACAGGTAGAGTACATTCCTTCCCCAATTCAATCTTTCAAAGAATTCTGCTCCTTCTCCAAGGTCTAGCTCAACCCCCAGATGAAAGTATACTTTCCCTACTCAAATTTATCTAGGCCATTCTGTCTGGCACACTTTTGGCACTATCATCATTTGCTTTCTATAATAATAACAGCAATAATCACCATAGCAGCAAGACTTTAGATTCCCATATTTCTATTCAAATGACCCAACCACTGCAGAGAATTTAGAACTGTGTTCAAAGAGCTATAAAACTGCACTTACCCTTTGACCCAAAAATACCACTACTAAGTCTTTACCCCACAAAGATATCAAAGAAAAAGGAAAAGGAAACACATGTACAAAAATATTTATGGCAGCTCTTTTTGTGGTAGCACAGACTTGGAAACTGAGGGGATGCTCATCAATTGGTGAATGACTGAACAAGTTTGCAGTAGTGACTGTGATAGAATAGGATTGTGCTGTAAGAAATGATGAAGGGGATGATTTCAGAAAAACCTGGGAAGATTTACATGAACTAGTGCAAAGTAAAGTGAGCAGAACTAAGAGAACATTACACAAAATAACAGCAATCTTATAATGATAGTTAGCTGTGACTTAGTTACTCTGATCAGTATAATCATTTATGACAATTCCAAAGGACTCATGAAAAATGCTCCAGAGAAAGGACTCTGAACGCAGATCAAAGCTTTATTTTTTTTCTTACTCTTTTTTATCCTCAACATGACTAAATCAAATGTTTTAACTGACTTCATGTGTATAATAATGGATATCACATTTCTTGCCTTCTCAAAAGGTAGGGGAGGGGATCGAAGGAGGAAGAAAATTTGGAACTGAAAATAAAAATTTTAAAATTTAAAATAACAAACAACCCACCATGATTCAAAGGTAGGTTTCTGGAAATGTGTCACTTCTTCCGAGTTTTCTTCTCTTCACAAATGAGATGACTTTCCAACCAATTTGGGTAAGAATCATTTATCCATTCACATGACAAGTGGCTGTCTCTATGGGTTATTTTGTAGCAGTCAGGGTGGCTGGGGGACATTAGCTTTCTTAGGTTCTAGTGATTTTGACAGGAGTAGTCTAAGACATGGGACCTTTTGACTGGGATCTCAAGGCCCCAAAAGAGGCAGCTTCTAGATCGATGTGATATGGTAGGCAGAAATCAAATCCAATCAAACTAAATCACCATTTCCAAAAATAAGCTCTTGCCCCTACAAGAAATAACCTGCAACAACACACATAATTAGCCCATCTGGAAATCATCTTCAAATCTAATTAAGTTCTAATATGCAGAAACATTTTTCCAGCACCTGTTCACTTTAATCTTTCTTCCCCTTCAGGGATTTTCATGTTAAATGCCCCCTCTTCTGTGTATGGCATGTGATTCCCTCTCAATTTAACTATCTAAGTGAACCCTGCTTCCTGCTCCCCCCAAAATAAGGATACTTGAATCCCCCTCTTCCCTGGGGAAAAACAGGTAACTTTTTATCTCTCCCTCTTCCCTTACCTCAACGCCTTTGCCAGCCAATCTCTAACCCCCTGTACCATTTTAAAAGGCAATTACATTTTATGGGCCTTAGCAAATGTCAATCGAGTACACTAGGAGGGGGGTGTCTTAACTCCAAGTTTGGCAACCAGCAAAATGTTAGCAATCTTATCTCCACTTGTAGCAAGATAGAAGAAAGAGTCAGAAATCAAAGGTCCTCATTGCTAAGTCCCCCTGCTCTATGTACTACTTAGAAGCAAAGGCACCAGATGGCACAAATCAAGGGAAAAAAACAGAGAGAGAGAGAGAGAGAGAGAGAGAGAGAGAGAGAGAGAGAGAGAGAGAGAGAGAGAGAGTGAGTGTGTGTGTGTGTGTGTGTGTGTGTGTGTGTGTGTGTGTGTACACACACCAAACGCAGCCTGTGTTGGGACAAGACAGCAGGAAATTCCACAGACTGGGCAGCACCATCTTATTTTAGAAAAGGAGAATGAGATCTTTAAGATACTGGCTTCTTTTCTAATGCACTGGCAAGGAGGGGAAACTAGTGACACAAGCAGCTTCCTCTGGGATTTCCCAGCATAGACACTCAAGAAATGAAGTACAGTGCACAGGGTATAGTAGGAAACACTCCATCTCCTGAAAGCCTTAGGGTTAGTCCTTGCTAACAGCTTAAATTCCCTTAAAGTACAAAAAATAAGATCCTTGCTGTCTTTCATGTTTCTAGTTTAAAAGCCAGGGCTCTGCATGTTCAGAGCAAGACAGTTTAAGCAAAGGATCATTTTTCATGAGACAGGAATTATCTTAACTCAATCTGTCAGAATTTCCCTATTGGACTTAACTAATTCTGAAGTTTTCTATGAAGAATTTAAGTTACAAACAGGATCCTCTGTGATGAAAAATATTTGCTCAAAAATTTGCACAGCTTGAGTAAACATGCTGTGACATGCATTGCTAAGCAAGTCATTAAATATTTACTGGACACTTTAATGTGCCCAGCACTGAGCAAAGCATTCAACCCTAAACATAAGCTCCCTCCTTACTGTGTTTAGAAGGCAAGGCCTTACATCTTCAATATGTTTTATGCTGCTAAATAGCATGAAACACACTGAATGTTCAATAAATATTAAAGGTTCCTAATGACCCAATTCAATACCCTAAAATTATAGATTAGAAACTATTCTCATCCACAGGACTTTCCTCACCTATACTTCCCTGAATATGGTGAACTAAAATTACAAAATACTCGCTATAGTTCGAAGCCTATTTAATGTCAGGCAAATTTACTAAGCAAGTCAGAGGTTTCTGCTTAAAGAGTAGGAAGCTGATACTATTAAACATAACTAGTAAAATCACCCACACCCAGAAAACAGAACTGTAATTCAGGCTCTTTTATGAGGTATCCAGAAGTCAGCTGTTCTCCCTGACAGTCTCCCTAAATTCAATTACTCAATCACACATCACAAAAATTTTTAAAACCTCTTTTATTTTAAGGCAGTCTCTGGCTCTGGTTTGGACAGTAAAGAGAAAATAAATGAAGAGTAGCAAGACAACAATTACTCCTAATGATACTCCTGAAGCTCTGATTCTGGATCTTATTTTCTTTTCCCGTAAACCAAGCTTGTATAAGAATTAATTTTTGAGAAGAAAGCATCTGGGGAGAAAATAGCATACACTCTGATACACCAGGAGTGACGAGCAATGTTACTAGGGCTAAGTGCTATGATGCTGAGCAATGTTAATGTTTAGCAATGACACTAAACTACTTCCAATATGTTGTGGAGACATTCTTCCCTTCACTGAAATCTGCACAAAATGAGAGGTTCATTTATCCTTCTGAATAGAAGGATCTTAAATAGCACCTTCCACATGGCCTTATTTACTACAGGGGAATTGGGAACAGATCCCTTTAACTTCATAAACAAAGAGCTGATAAAGTGTCTTGTTATCACAAAAACATTTTGATAATAAGTGTGATTGAACTAATACACTGGATGCCCCAGAGTTACTTTCTTTTGTATAATTTAAACCAGACTATTCACTAGGTGACGTTATAAAAACATCTCAAGTACTTCCAGGTGACAGACAAACTGTATCCAACAACACATGCTTTCAATATGTTTACCAAACCCTGAAGGCAAGAGATGAAACATAAGGTCATACTGCTCCCCACCATGTTATATATGGTAGAGTCAGTATATACTCTTCTTCAGTGCTTGGAACATAGTATGCAAGCACTTAAATGCTTTTCCATTCATTCATTCAAGTCAAGTCTCCAA